GTACATGTGAAAAAAAAAAGAAGCATAGAGGCTACTCAGTTCAAAAAAAAAAAAAAAAAAAAGGAAAGAAGTAGCATGTTCTCCTTACAAAATTACTTGACCCATCGGGATATTTCAGCAAATATAGTAAAATGAGCTGTTGTTAGCCTTCCAAGTTGTTCAACACATTTCTTTTTCTTAACCTTTAATAGGTGTATATATTTGCTTTGTTCCTTAAACACATCATAATGCTTCATTTTCTCACTTATTTAGAGGCCATACATTATAGAAGATTTGGCAAGATCTTATATAATTATTAGTAGGTGATCAGATTCTTTCTGATTTCTTTCTCAAAATGTATTTTTTCCTTGCAAGCAACTTTAATTGTGTTTATGCTTTAGGAAATCATGCGTGAATTTTGGTAAAGTGTGGTTTAGTGGTAAAGGAGACGTCTTTATTGAATGTGACGTCTTTATTGAATGTAAAAGCTGGGAAAAGTGATATCGATAGTTTCCAAATTGGCTGGCACCACCCTTTCCTATGAAGCAAAGGGGGTTTAGGGAAAAGCAGTGTGGAGCTAGCTAACAAAGGAATCAATGGTTTCTTTTAGAAAAACTATCTGAAGTTGCAGGTACTCAATTTACTCAAAAAGGGCAGAAAATAATACAAATTGAAGTGTAAGATATCTTCCTTTTATTGATTGTTTCGATTGCTAAGAATGGCCAATCATTGCTTCACTTCATCACGAGTAAGCTTCTATCAGTGGTAAATTACTGATTTCTGTACTTGCTGATTGTTAATCAAAGATAATCTCGATCTCTATTGATTTATCTCTTTGTAATTAAAATTAACAGTCGAAGGTAAGGGAAATTTGGGAGATGAAGAGAGTAAGATAAGCTTCTAAGTTTTACAGGGTTTAATGTTGTTATTGAAAGTTCTAGAGACGGCTTGTGCTCGTCCTAAATGGAATGACTTTCTTAGTGACGCTGGCCTGCATTCCCATGTCTGCTCTTCTCCGCCTGTAAACTCTAGACGTTGGTTTTGTCAAGATACGATACGACTCTTTTCTTTTGAAGTTTTAAGGACTTAATTTTCACCGTTGAAAGTTGTTTCCATTCGGATAATTTTCACTCTAAATTGTTATGAATTATTGGTAGAAGAAGAGTTGCAATCAAGTTCAGCTATTTGAGTCGATCAAGCTTGATCATTGTAGCAGCCACACTAAAATGGAAATGGGGGCCAAGATATATGAAGCCAACTTTGCTGCGATAATGTTTATTTGAGGTATAGTTTCTGGTCACAATAATGATAGTATTTGTTGTTTTAAGTAAGAAAGGTAGGTTGAAGCAACAATGGGGACTGACTTTCCTCCATTTTACCCTTTCTAAAATCCATGGAGGTTGAGAGGTCCGATCATTTCAATTTTGGTATGCATTAATCCTAACTTCATTTGGAAGGATTTGTTATTTGTGGATTCAAATGAAACTATTTCATTAGAGTTCATCACAGCTAAAGAGCTACAATACAATACCTTTTTTTTTTTTTCGCTTTCCATAGACTCAAAAGACCTCATTTTTAAAAAAAGTGATCGGTGTAGAGAGTAATTAATGAACCGTTCCATCAAATATAACATACTATTACGTAAAGTTGTTCGATTAGTTTTCAAAAAGTTTCACTTCAACTTTCGAAATTGTTCTTATAATGGATGAAAATTGACATGATTGTACTGAAACTACGAGGTACGTGATATCATTTATAGCATTATTATTCATGTATTTAGTAGTCAACCATTTTTATTGTGTGAATTGTATTATAAACAATGTTAATGATATCTTTTAAATTACCAAAGAGTGCATAACTTAACCGTTATTAATATCTATGTGCTTAATTTTTCCTACCCCACGTTTTTTATACTAAAAAATAATATCTTTTAAATTAAAATAAATGATAGCAATCTTAATTATATATATAATTAAATCATATATGACGTCATGTATGCCTTTCAAATTTTAATAATAAAGAAGAATTATCCAAGAATATTTTAGAACAACTTCAAAATTTAAGAGTCAAAATACAAAATTTCTAATTGACATCGAAAATATTTCTATCTAATTTAATCGTCATGTGTGAATATTTTAGGGTTTAAACAGTGTTGCTTTCAGTATTTTGTAGAAGAATTTCCAATGCATCCAAGTTGAATTAATGGAACTTGGGTGTAACCAATTAAGTTGAGATTCATAAATGAATTTGCAGGAATATCACTCATTTCCAGTAAAAATAACAGCTTTCATTGCCATTTTTGTTGATATATTCAAACTTGGATTCTTCTTCTTGTTTCATACTAAGAACTCTCATTACTTTTCAACAAACTTGTTACTGTTCTTATGAACCTAACCCCACTCTTCTCAACTATACCTCACCAATAAATACGATCCCGACACCTTCACATGAATCACGTAACGACCCAGATCCACTGTTAGTCGATATTGTCCTATTAGACTTTTCCTTTCGGACTCTCCCTCAAGGCTTTAAAACGCGTATGCTAAGAAAAAGTTTCCACATTGTTTTGTTCTCCTCTCCAACCGAGGTGGGACATCACAAATCAACTATTCATAATTTTCATGACCCTCTCAAAAATTAATTTTCGTTATTGTTTAGCTTAAACTTTTGGGTTGATTGATGGATTAACATGATATAGAATAGATATGTGAATGAACTGAGACCATATCCGAACGAGAGTGATCTATTAAATAGAGTGGTAAAAAATGCTACAAACAATTGATAGTTACTACTTATACAACGACCCATCTTCCTTTTGATTACTCAATCAATTATAACTTCAATGTAAAGTAAGCTTAGTTTGGAGAAATTATATATGTGGGTAGTTTCTTGTGATTATTTTACGAAACATGTGATTAAGAACAAAACATACTAAAAGAACTCGGGTTAGTTTGTGGGTAATCTTCCATGTGACCATATTTTAATTTTTACTCTTTCGAAAAAAAACCTTCAAATCATGAGCATGCAACGTTATATAAAATGAGTATAGCTCAATAATAATTGATATCTACTCTTTTACTGAAGTCGAAGGTTCAAATTCACATACAAACAACACGATATAGAGCATGAGATTCAATATTCAAACCTCTCATTTCTTCTCGAGCTAATATTATTAATCTTCAATTGTTGGAGTTTCTACAAAAATTTCAAACTAACACACTTAAATTTTTAGGTTGATAAAATTGAATCGAGCGAAAAACGATTACAAAGAACGCTCTAAGTACTAAATGAAATACATTAAGAAAATGCATCGAAAACGATACACCAGGGAGACCTAACCCTTGACGTAAACAACAAAGTGTAAAAGTTTAAATGTCACAATCAAATTTATGAACCTATTTTACTTTTAAGAAATTTTGAATAGTAAAAAACAATACGACAATATAACTTTCTCGAAAACGTGTGGGGTTGGGAGTGTAGATTTTTAGAATATTCACAATAAATTGTTGACTCAAAGTTTCGAATGGTTCGTTAAAATAAACTATACAAATTGATTTGACAACTAAGGTGTAAAAATTGAAAAACATATTTCACATCACTGAAATATTTAAAAAATTAAAATTATTATTTACCCTTTTATTATAACTTAAAAATATATATATATAAAATGGTGGATGGGTATCTTTTGAAATTACTTTATATTGATAGACCTTTGTTTTGAAATTATTGAAAAGGAATGGAGACATCTTTTTATTCATGTTCTTTGTCCATTATAATAAAAGAATATTCCATATACCATGAATTCAAACATTATCGCACCCAGTTGGCAATAATAATAATAATAAAACAAAATTTAAATTCATTCCAGTTCGAAATTCTCTTTATTTTCGTGATACTTGAATAAAAAACAGATACATGAATAAACTGAAATCACGTCTGAATGAGAACAATCCTGAGAATATGATGACTAAGAAAAGCTTAAAGAACATGAAAGTTACTATCTATATCAACAATGTGTACCTTCCTTTTCAGCGACTCAATCATAGGAACTTCATGGTTAAACATGCTTTACTCGAAGCATGTGAGTGAAGACAGGTCATATTAGAAGAACTCGTATTGGCTGGTAGGGATAGTTTTTAGTCTTAAGACGCTAAAATAATTATTTATAGATGGATTAGATAATAAATTTGATGGATGAAATTGAAATTAAAATGTTTAATTATTTTTAAAAGGATTTATTATAAACAAATTAAATTAGAAAATCATGAAATAAAATCTCATGTTTGGTGGAAATAAATAAAACCAAACAAGATCCTATGCATGACAGCTGTATGTAATTAATTAATTAATTAATTAATGTTTTTGAGATCTAAACAAAAGCATAATTGTCGTATGATATTGACTTTATTTTATTTTATATTATTATTTTAGAGAGAAGCTTTGAAATAATGCTTCAAATTTCCACCTAATTTTTAATTAAGGTTGACTTTCAAATCACAAAATTGATGTAAAATTTAATCATGGAAGAAAGTGAATAATAATTTCAATGTTACCATATAATATTAATAATTTTATATACCAATCTTTTTTAATAAATCATTTTTTAAAATTATTTATTTTGAGTGGCCTCCTTCGATTAGATCGACCATATAAAAAATTATGTAAAACTAACTTTCATTTATGTCATAAGATGAAACATTTTAACGTTAATATTAAAGTTTATTCTGGGTAGGTAACATTTTAATCTCTATTATATTCAATGTTGAATTCATGATTTAATCAACGTAGAATTAGTTCAAACTAAGTTTTTGGCAGTGTTACGAGCTTTCGAATTCAGTAGACAGAAGAAATCTTATCGAGATAAAAACGAGGACTTTCTATGGCGATAGCGGTTCCCACTAAATGGGTTATCCAAAACTTGGAGCTAACGTTTGAGTCGAAAATCTATGTCTGATTCAACGAGACGAATATGACAGGTTGAGGCGGTAGATCTTAAAGTATTGTGTCGGTTGAATTAGGGACGAAGAAAGTTGAGAATGCATTCGTGAAGACGCAAGTATAGATAAAATAAAGCACAACCTTTGCTTTGAGCAAAAAAGGTTGAGCTGAGCTGAGCTCGGTTACAAGACAACCTAAGACAACATAGGATTGGAAGCAAATACATAGGATTTGAAAACGGATACATTAATATATGAAAAAGAACTTCACACTGTGCTTTGGATCTTTCAAAGCGTCTTATTTTGAGTTCGACATATATTGTATGCTCACCTCATCTTCCTGCACCACAACAACATTAAACCCATGTTATTACTCGGACCAACTTTTTTAAGGAAAATTTTTTTTTTTTTTTTTTTTTTTTACCACTTTTTTTTTTCTTTTTCTTTATAAAATTAATATATATTATGGTATTATGTTAGTTATGTGGAGAAAAGACAGCGTGATTTAGTGAAAGAATTAAATTACCTTGACGTGGAAGGGAATTTAGTTCCTAGTAGTGGGGAGGAGGTGGGGATGAGTAGTAGTAGACCGGTGGTGGTGGCGAGTGTACTGGTGGCGGGTAGTATACTTTCTTGGGTGGTGGTGGAGAGTACACGGGTGGAGGGTAGTATACCTTCTTGGGTGGTGGTGGAGAGTAGACGGGAGGTGGATAGTATACCTTCTTTGGTGGTGGGGGAGAGTAGACGGGAGGGGGGTAGTACACCTTCTTGGGTGGCGGGTGAGAGTAGACGGGTGGTGGGTAGTATACCTTCTTGGGTGGTGGTGGAGAGTAGACGGGTGGTGGGTAGTATACTTTCTTGGGTGGCGGGGGAGAGTAGACAGGAGGTGGGTAGTAGACCTTCTTGGGTGGTGGGGGAGAGTAGACTGGAGGTGGATAGTATACCTTCTTGGGTGGTGGTGGAGAGTAAACAGGAGGCGGGTAGTAGACTTTCTTGGGTGGTGGGGGAGAGTAGACAGGTGGTGGGTAGTAGACCTTCTTCGGTGGTGGTGGAGAATGGTAGACCGGAGGTGGGTAGTACACCTTCTTGGGTGGTGGGGGAGAATGGTAAACTGGAGGCGGGTAGTACACCTTCTTGGGTGGTGGGGGAGAATGGTAGACTGGAGGCGGGTAGTACACCTTCTTGGGTGGTGGGGGAGAATGGTAGACTGGAGGCGGGTAGTACACCTTTTTGGGTGGTGGGGGAGAATGGTAGACTGGAGGTGGGTAGTACACCTTCTTGGGTGGTGGCGGAGAGTAGACAGGAGGCGGATAATACACCTTCTTAGGTGGTGGTGGAGAATGGTAGACGGGAGGCGGATAGTCTACCTTCTTAGGAGGAGGGGGAGATGCATAGAAATAATTAGCATTGGTGGTTGATGGCAAGCTTAGGGAAAGAAGAGCCACAAAGGCAGTGAAAAGAAGAGGAGCCATTGAGGATCCCATTTTCCCCATCCTTGATGGATCACAACACCCTTCTCCTCCCCTTTATATAGCTTTGTCCCTTAACCCCCACTTCACTCACTCCTTATTACTCATCTCCCATTTCAATTTAATTTAATAACACAAATCAAAATCATACACATATACACCTATTATTGTCGGTAGATAACAAAAATAGTTAAAATAATAATATGTCTTCTCATCATGTTTCCACTAATTACGAACCCTCCACTAACCTTTAACCTTTATTACAAGATTTCACAATATTAAAAATTAGACATATAGTAGTTTATAAAAGGTGGTCATAAAATATTGTAACAGCTCAAGTCTATCATTAGCTTAGACCTGTTACGTATCGTCGTCAACCAATAGTTTTAAAACACATTAGTTAGGAAGAGGTTTCTACACGTTTACAAGTAATGTTTCGTTCTTCTCTTTAATTTATGTGAGATCTCACAATTCACTTCCAGCTCAGTGTCTGGCTCTTATACCATTTGTAACAACCCAAACTAATCGCTAACAGATATTGTCTAGTTTGACTCGTTACGTATGCCTATTAGTTTCCTGAAAAAAAAAAAAAAAAAGTCTGTAGATTTAATAAGAAGGGTTGATGAGAGTGGGACCCGGCGGCTTGACTTATGGTTCATCTAAAATTATAAAGGACTGGTCCAAGTTGTCGGGTAGGTTTCACATCTTTGCATGGCTTGGTTGGCGTTTACTTCTATTTGGTTTTTTTCTGTGGGCTACAACTTGCCTTCTATACAAAACTTCTCACCCCATTTTCTATTCTTTTCCTATTCCAACTCGTCTCGATTTAAGTTGATCTAATTGTTCGAGTTATAAATTTTTTGATTCCATAATGAATTTAATCTAATCCTACGTAAGTTTTTTGAATTGATTAGTTCAGATTGTTCGAGTCATTTATTTAAATTTTTATTTTTTAATGAAAGTAAATTGTTGCCTTTCTAAAATATTTATTTATTTTTAAATATTTAATTAAGATTTATATAATTAAGTAGGTACAAAATGAAATTTGGCAATACATTTAATAACATGGGTAGACAAGTTGATTTAATTAGGTGAGATTCGTATATATGCATATCTTCCGCTATATATTTACATAATTTCACTAGACTCTTATTATTATATCTAACATTGAGCTATACTTAAATTGGTCACTTTTTGTTCTTAAAATGATGAATAATAATTTTTTTAATACAAAAGAGTACGAGGATTTGAACCTTTGATCTATTAGTTATCTTGTATAAATATGAATATTTAAATTCATTTTAATATCTATTAGTTCGATAACAATTTAATTTTTTGATCGAGAAAATGTGGATTTAATTAGGTAAGGAATTATTGAATTAAAGGTGGGAGTAGGTGAGAAATTTGGGTACGTAAGTAAGGATTGTGTTTGGTAGAAAAAATTGTTTAACTAAATCAATGATTTAGCCATCGCCATTTTTAATACATACTTTTAAAATATATTAAAAAATGGAAATAAATTTATAAATATCTCCGAACGTTTAAAAGTTGTTATAAATAATTTTCGTCACGTGAAATTGTCTGAAAGATTCGATGACTTGTTGTAAGAGGCTAAATCTTAATTTACTATTGAGTAAACGATGGATCAAATTAGCTTGCATCCAATAGTATATCAACTTTTCAAATCTATTTATGCACGTACACGTAAAAAGTTATTTAAGTTTCGGAACCAAATATATGAACCGACAAAAGATGTTCTAAATTAGTTTCTGCATATACTACTAATGATTGAGATCTCGATTTCTTCATCTCAACCTTCAAACATAATTAATAATTTAAAAATTAAAATTCATTGAGAGATCTAAAACCGAGTCACAAGAACGCGAGATCTCACTTTTGTTGGAGAGGGAAACAATTCATTCTTAATAAAGACGTGGAAAACCGTGAGATTGTGAGGGGGTGGATTGTGATATCTCATATTAGTGGGAGAAGGGAACAAATCACCATTTATAACGGTGTGGAAACCTTCCCCTAGCAGACGTGTTTTAAAACCTTGATGGAAAGTCCAAAGAGGACAATATCTACTTGCGGTGGATCTGGGGTGTTACACGATATGTAACGGGTAAAAGCAAACAACATCGGTTAGCAATGGGTTGAGCTATTACAAATGATATCAAAACCCGACGTAATAATGGTTGAAAGATATATATATACACACGTGTGTGTATATTTTTTTTTTCTTGTAATTTATTTTTAATTAATTATTTCATAGGGACTTATTAGTTAATATGAAATTATTTTCCTGCCGTCAATAATAAAAGATGACTTTTTTGTCCTTCCATATAATATAATATTTGGTAATAATAAAATTTAGAAAAAACTCCATAAAATAATAATAATAATAATAATAATAATAATTGGTAGCGTAGAAAGTTGAAAATAACAATAATAATAATAAAATAAGTAAATAAAAGGAGTAGTTAAAGAATTGGTCAAATGTGTGTGACATTTAATATACAAAAATTGACATTTGCTGTCAATATTTATTTCATATTCGGGCTTCATTTTCTTACTCATATTGCCATTATTTTATTTTCTTCCAATAAATTATATTTTTTACTTTCCAATATCTTATCCAAAAATTAGGCCCAAACCTGACTCATCAAGGTCAAATTCGACATTATTATTATTATTCAAAATTTAAATTCATAATGATAAATATTGATGTGATTATTCAAATAAGGTTTACCCTTTGGCCTAACTTAATATTAAAAAAAAAAAACGTTTTTTTTAAAAGAAATTCCAATATAAAAATTTAAAAATTCTATGATTTTTTTGAAAATATTTTGTTAGGTACTAAAAGTCTTTATTTATTTATATTTTGATAATGAAGTTTAAAACAAGGGACATATGATAATATATAAATTAAAATGATGGTTTTGGATGAAAGGATAGATTAACCAACAATGTGGGAAAAAATAAGCAATGAAGATACAATTTCAACCTTAATTAATGGAAGTTTGGTAAATAAGATAGCGAAAGAGAATGACAAAAAAAAATAAATAATAATAATAGACGTTCAGAGTGAATCACGGATAGACTTGATAAGCTAATAGACATTTATTTGATTTAGTGTAACGGCTCAAGTTTTCTCCTAATAGATATTGTTACTTTTTGGTTTTCCTTTCCAGACTTTCGTTCAAGGGTTTTAAAACGGGTCTATTACGGAGAAGTTTCACATAAAATGTTTTGTTTTTTTTACAACAGACGTGGAATCTTATATTCATAAATATTGCACGTCATACATATGAGGAAGTAGAAGGAATGTTCCATGAAAACTTGGTTTCAATATCAGCCATTTCTAACACTAGAATGGAGGCGGCGGCACCACCGGAGGATCGATCGGCCACGCTCTCAACCGTGATGTCTTTACCAATGATTGAGCTATGCCATCCTCCCCATTTTTGCATGATGAACATGAAAACGACTTTCGTTTAAAATTGACCACTTCTGTAACCCCAAGTGCTTGTTCTGAAGGCGGCGACGGCGGCGGAGGAGGAGATGGGTCACCGGAATTTGCGGTGGTTTTTACCGGCAAGCTTGCAATGATTGATAATATTATCAATACAGCACAAACCAGCTTGGTTGTCGAATAAGATCCCATTTTTTTCTTTGTTTTATTTCTACGTTTAAGCTTCCACCTCTTTATATATATATTGTTTTAGTGAATTTGGTCTACAGGTTTATTTTTGTTAATTAAGAATTTTAATTCATGATGTTTATTTAATTATTAAAATATCTTTTTTATGAGAAAAATTTATGAATTGACCTATCTTTTTATTATATTATATATGTGCCGGTAATTTAACGCTTAATATTTAATGTTTAGAACCGTTCTATGTATAGTTGGCTCGAGAAAAGAAAAGAAAAGAGAAAAAAGTATAATATTCTCCGTCATCGATCTTGTTTATTTAACAAAGAAAAATTTCTCTCTTCCCTCGTTTGATTTGTCCTTATTTGAAATGGGTTAAATAGACATCTCTATATATGTCGTTAAGACATGGTTTCACCGGTGCACGAGTATCAATAAAGCTAATGTTCAAAACTACTAGACTGCATGTTCATGGGTGCAGGATTCTTTGAAAAAGTGCGGGCTGACTCGAAAACCGGGAACCTTAGCTTAACAACGAATGAAGGAGAGCTCAAAGAGCTTTTATATAGCTCACTAAGCTTTGCTTCTCTTGGTTCCTTTTTTCAATGAAGTGAAAAGTCTAAACTTAGTAGACAGCATTCTATTAAGCAACTTGTTGAGTCTATGAAGCTTTGTTTCTTGTAGTCGGCTTGTAACGCCTCCTATCATTTGCTTGCCTCTTTACAATTCAGAATGACGTTTGCCTTGACTTTTGTGAGATCCCACATCGGTTGGGGAGGAGAACGAAACATTCTTTATAAGGGTATGAAAATCTCTCCTTAGCAGACGCGTTTTAAAAACTTTGAGAGAAAGCTCAGAGAGGACAATATCTGCTAGCGGGGTAGACTTGGACTATTACAACTTTAATATTGAGTATTAAGTAGCTAAATTGACAAAGGGGAATAACCCCTCTTCTTTATAGGCGTAAAGGACCTCTCTGAAAAGTTAAGAAGGATACGAAGAAATGAAAGCTCGACAAAAGATCTATGATCGATGGAAGCAACGACAAAAGCTAACGCGTTAATGAAACTCTTAGCGATACACTAAACATTCGTTATTTTCTTGTAATTAGATATTTTTATCGAACGAGCTCATGTAAGAAACATACGACAAAGATCAAATCAAACAAAAAAGGATCAAAACAAAGGCATTTTGAAAGATCAAGAGACAAACAACATAGTATATACTCAAAAAAACTCCCGACCAAGCGACAAGAATTAGCTAGAATGCCAAATTTGATTCAATAATTGGTTTAGAGTTCTTCAAATTCCATGCATGTTATCCCAAAACTTAGCGAAACGGAGGTGGTGGTGATGGAACGACGACCACCATTGGCCACGGAGCATTT